CACAGCCTCTGATAAAAGAGCCCCATGCAGCATTATACTTCCTAAAGCAACCTCTGGCCATGACTATGAAGAAGCATTTGTATCGTTCAGGGGCCACCACACCTCCCCTGCTGTCTATGCCCATGCATCCAATTCAATGAAAGAGCTTGACTGGGGCCTTGGGTAGGCACACCAACTCCAGTAGGTCAAATGGCTACTCAGGACCCATTGATTCATATGCTGGACAGTCTCACAGGTGGCCCTAGGTCGCCCACAGCCTGATCACACTATCCCTTTTTGTACAGTCAGGAAGCTTCTTTTTTCAGACCCTCAGTTTCCTGATGACTTACCTTGCTGATGTTCGTGCCGTATTTCTGTTCCAATTCTGTATTACTGAGCCTGTGGTCATCCTGAAATCCGTGAAAATAAGGAGAATAGAATAAACGAGGTCATTCAAAAACACCCAACCTAACTTTTGACCAGCCTTGACAGCTAGAAGTAGTAATGATGAAGGAAAAAGCCAGGAAAATTGGTGGAGAGGAGAGAAGGAGGCTTAGTGCTGGGGGCTCTGCAGTGAGTGGAGGTACTGGTACAAGAGAGCCTTGTTCTGAATCCTCGCCTGCCCTGAGTACACACTACACCTAACATTGACATCTAGTCACTGTTCTCAGTTCTTAATTGCTTATTTTTTTCAATCTGACCTCCAGCACATACAAGCTATCCTTGCCTGGCAGTTACTAGCTAGGTGGATTCTTCATTCAGATTTGGATGCTGGGATTGGCGGAAAGGTGATAAGCAAACCCAAAGTACACACAGGGGGAGAATAGGATGAAAGCAGGGAGGAGGGGAGAGGAAACGGGGTAAGGCTGTGGTGATTTGGTGCTTTCTCTAATGCCAAAAATGGGAATGGCACAAGGCAGCCCAGGGCTCCTCAGGCTGGTCATTCAGAAGGCATGGGTTCTTTAGTTATCAAGGCTCTAATTTGACACAGAGGTCAAGGTTCAAAGGCATTCAGATATCATGTCACAAACTGCAGGATTCTTGTGAGAAGTTTGAGAAACAGGCTAATGAATTTTCTAAACAGTATTCAAAGTACTCAAAGAAGAAAAATTCTTATAATTGTAGACAGAACTGGACATGGTGGCTTATGCCTATAATCTCCACACTTGGGAGGCTGAGGCAAGAGGTTAGAAGATTGCAGTTGCAAGGCCAGCTGGACCCTGTAGCAAATTCCAAGTCAGTGTGAACTACATAACAAGCCATTGTCTTCAAAAATAAGAGACAGAAGGCAGATAAATAGAGTAAATATTAGCAAGCACATAAAAGAACAGATGTACATTTACATTCAAGCAGCAATTTCAAGAGAAAACAGATATCTTCAATCTAAATGCTAGAGCTACACAGGAAATAAAAACTAGATAATTGTTTATTAGCTAGCACTGCTCTTTTTCATGCCCTACCACACTCAACCCTCTTTACAACCCTAAGAAAGAGGCATCACTATTTTTTTCTTTAGGAAGGGTCCTACGTCATAGCCCAGCCTGGCCTTGAACTCATGATCTTACCACCTTAGTAACTTCTAAGTGTTGGGGTTAGAGATGAGCGAAAAACAGGGAAGTGAAACTCAGTTACGCTGGGCTTTAAACCTAGTTCAGTTCAGCTTCTGAGCTGTGTTCTTAAATGTTTATCAGCATACATACACACACCCACTGAAAAGTGTTTTTTTTAAAAAATATTTGACAAGCTCTCCAGGAAAGAGAAATAGCTCTGATTTGTAGCATTTGTTCATTTACCATGAGGACCTCACTATGCCAATTTCCTGGGCATTGAACAATTGGTAATCTAGTCCAAATAAGCTGGCAGGATCAGCCCAGCAGTGGCCCAACAACTACAGAACTTTGAAGTCTGCCAATGGATTGCAGGGATAATACAGCAGAATCTCAAACTTCCAGAATCTCAGAGTCTCCACTTTGGTCTTCCAGAAAGGAAATCTGTCATATTTCAGATCACATGCTAGACCCAGGCCATCCCTTCATTAGAGTGCCCAAAGTTCTTCCTTAATAGTAATAATATTGTCCTTCCATAGGGAAATTTACTTAGACAATGCTCAGCTCATTCTTCCCTCACAGACCTTGCAAATTATTTCCCACCTTACGTTTAAAAAATGGGGGAGCGGGAGCCCTCTGGAGCTAGCTTATTTGCTCCAAGTTACAGCTCAGTCCTGAAGATAGACAGACTGAGCTTGAGGTTGTGAAGTCCAGGTCTAGCATTCCTACCCCTGGAGTTGTTTTTCCAGGAACACATGAAACTTTGCAAGGTCCGTGCCTTTGGTTTTCCACCTTGGAGGCTCCAGTTCTATTTGTCAAGGGAAGACTGACTTGTGGTTACTTCTATCTCTCTGAAGTAGCCGAAGATGAGACAGATATGGGTTGTGCCTTAGGAACTTAAATCAGATGTTTTTCCCTTTCTGTTCTACCCAGGACCACCTCCACTAGAACACAGGAATCCTACAACATGGACAGATGGGTGACAGAGAGACACAGGAGGACAGAACAGGACACTGGAAGATATTATAACACTACTTAAAAACAGCAAGGAAATTGGAACCCTTTCAGGAGATTCCAAGCCCTTGAGGCTGATTTTTCTCTATGAGAGAGGTTGCAGAGAGACGTTCTTAGGGGAGGGTGCTCCGGACCCTCCGGCTTTAAGGGGACTGACCAGGTCAAGTTCTTTCTTCAGCTCCTCTTTCTGATGACTCTTGGGTTCTGAGTCTTTGTTCTTCTGGCCCTTGTACTTCTCCTTGTTGTCCCCCTGGTCTGTGTGCTTGAGATCTTTAGTTCCATCGAGCTCCACAGAGTAAATTTCCGGTGTTTTCTGAAAGAGAAGCAGAAGTGCACTGTTGGCCCCAGATGGGTTTTCTGAAGAGGCGCTTAGTGCTTCCCTGAGGGTGGGGGACTGCACAGAGGAAGGAGTACTGTGGCCCCCTTATCCCCATCTGGCCGAGAAGTGGAGGAGCAGGACTGTGGGATGTCTCCCTCTGCTATCTCCCGAGAGTCTTCTGTTTCCTCTTGGTGGAGACTGGAGACGCAAAGCTGGGCTGGCACAGCCCTGCCAGCATCTTTTCAGGAGCCCCTTCTCTGGGGCGGGGCAGGTGGGAAATTACCCACTGAGATTCCCTAGGACCTTATTCCCACAGGTCCAGCCTGCCTTAGAGTACTAGAGTAAGCTTGGCGTAAAGACCGCCCATCCCCTCTGGTCCACGACCAGAGACTTTTCGCTTTTCCCTTTTCCCGCTGGTCAGCTACTGTCCCCCGCCCGGTACAGGGGCTGCACGCACCCGGCGCATGCTAGGGCTGGTGGCACCACCGGCTGGTGCGCAGAGCCGAGCCCGGGTCAGGACTTGAGTTGCGGTTGTGGAGCGCCCAGCAGCTATGCGCGGGTACCCGCCGGATCTGGGGGTGGTGACGGCCCCGGAGGTACGCAGGCCTGGGCTCCTGAGCGGTGATGGCGGTGGTGTTCACGGTGCAAATACAGGCGGCGACCCGAAGCCTGCGCGCACCTCCCAGCCTCTGTCCTGGGGAGGTGGCGTTGGCCTTAAATGCTGCGCGCTCCGCCCACGTTCTGCGGCTGCTAGGATCATTCGGCGGGGACGCCCCTGGGCCAGGAAAGCCGAGGGTGCGCAGGCCTGGGCGGGGTAGGATTGGTGCCTGGTGGTGAGGGGTCAGAGGCTGAGCTGGGAACCCTTGTTGACCTCTGGCTGGGGGGTGCAGGGTCTCCGTGGGGCGGGTCCAGCGATGACACTCAGCGGGTGGTGTCAGCAGCGGTGGCCTGCGACGGGTGCGTGCGGGCCCCCGTGCTCGGCAAGCGACTGTCTCAACCGGCTGCTCCTGCAAACCGGAGTGAACCCACGCCCTGCTCAGAGCTTTTGTGAAAACCCACACTCACTTTCTTTTAAAAATGCAATCGCCTTACCAATAAGTGACCTTATAAAAATGTGTAAACGAGGGTAGGAGGGGAAGTTACATTTCCTAGCAGCAAGCGCTCTCCAAGACCTGGCAATTGATACAGATTGGTTCTGGAGAGTGGATTTACTTAGGCAAGTGCAGGCTCCGGAGCAGTGGAAGGTAACGGTGAAAGACTCCAAGGAGTAGCTGAATTACTTGAAAGGGTCCAGAAAAGAATCTGAAGTTTTGAAGCAATACTGGAAGGGGAGGGAGTAAGGGAACCTGGGAGCTGGTGCAGGGGCTACTGAAAGGTTAGGTCAGAGCGTTCCCGTTTCGAGGAGGAGCAGCCTCCCTGTGTCCAGAGTCCAGGCTGTTGGTGGGATTTTGGTGACAGGGATGGACATCTCTGTTTACAGTGCTGTTCAGTCTTTCCTTCTTTGCACCCTCCTGTCCTCCCATCTGTCCTTGCAGTTCAGAAGGGCAAATTTTGAAATCTAACATATGCCCACTGTGGACCAGGAGCACACAATGAGCCAACTTCTTAACTAAATCATAAGGGCTAGAGGCCTCTCTGGGATATCTGATAATAGAGATGCACTCCACAGATGCTTTAGAGTTGGAGGGGACATGGTATTCTAATCCAGACTGGAACATTGGAGGGCTTCTGGGGAGCTCTGTGTTGCTTTCTATGTCTTTTCCAGGGTAGATTGTTCTTGGATGAAAAGCCTTGCACATAAGTAAGGAAATAGAAAATTTGTGTGAAACACTTGTTCTGTGGTTTGCTGGGATGTGAGGGGCTTTGCCGTTGGCTTCTGGCTCATTTTCAACTGTTCTAGCAAGGTTCCAACTCTGGGACTAGAGTCATAGACTAGAGAAGTAGGACACAGGGATGTCCTGGCTCAAGCCAGAAAAAAACCCAAAGCTCCAGGCTGCTGGGCCTGGTGGGGAAGGGTCTGAGGGAAATGTTGGCACAACTTTAAAAATAAGTACTTACAGTAGCTCCCATCTCAGAATATGGCTGTTTGTACTTATTGGTATCAAGTATGGGAAAGTATGGGCCTCAAACAGGACAAGAGTTTCCATTGTCAGGTTCTTTGGTACCTCCTATAACTGCACAGTTCCTGGTTTCTGCCAGGGGCCAGTCAGCCTCACCTGCCATGGTCCTGTGGCAATTCCTAGCCATGGATGCCCTAGAGTGTTGACTTCTATCAAAGAAAAGAAAAAAAAAAAAAAAAAAAAAAAACAGGGTATATACTTTGTAGATTTCCTAGTGACCAAAGATAAGAGTGCTAATATATTTTGGCCGCGGGTCCCTGGGCAAATCTCCCTCTAGGGGGCCCTGAAGTGTTGAATCTTACAAAAAAAAAAAAAAAAAAAAAAAAAAAAAAAAACAGGGTCACCATCTCTGCTGCTTCTAGTCACCTGGGCATCCCACTGTGCTGTGAGGAGAGCAGTCCTCAGACAACTATGATACAAGCACCTGGAGAAGCCCTCACCTACAGACCTAGATGTTGGATTTCCCCTGAGACATTGTCTTCACTTCGTTTGACCAGGGACTGTTACCCATGATATTGTGGGCAAGGGGTTCTGAGCACCCTAATTCTGATGGTGTCTTTTAGACTGGCTTTGAAGGAGAACAGGCTGCCTAGGGACACCTTTTCAGCTCGTTAACTCTAGTAGAACTTCTATTTGAGGCTGGATTTCCTATCTTTCAAGGGAAGCCCAATATGCCAAGGGTCTGTTCTATCACTACTCTTATTGACCGATAATGGGACAGGCTGCCTTGAAATATGTAAGTATCCCTAGCTCTTCTTAATTCAAACATTCAATGTCTTTGAAGTCTTACTAGGCATGGGGGTAACAGCATTAAACTGTGTCATTCTCTGCCCTCTAGTGAGGAAAAAAAGTAGCGAATGACACAAAAGAAAATAATTTAGAACTAAATGATATGAGTCTAAAAGAATGAAAAGTTTAGAGAAAAGAAACTTCTGTGGGAGGGTGGTGTTTTTTGAATGGCATCACCAAAACATCACATTGAAGTTTAATCCCCCTCATGAGATCTAGAGAGGTGGGACAAGGGCTAGGGATGTAGCTTAGTGGTACAGTAACAATTCCTAGCACAGGGAAAACAGGCAAGCAAGCAAGACACAGAAGTGGGACCAGAGATTATCTTTAATAAGTAATTAGGTCATGAGGGGCCTGCCCTCCTGAGTAGATTTGCTAGTTCAAGGACTGCTGATTTGTCTCATGGGTATACCCTTCTTGCCATATGATACCCTATACCACTGGTCTCTGCAAAGCCATCACTACATGCAGACCTTTGACCACCGAGCCTCCAGAATCATGAAGCAAACTAAGCCTCTATTCTTTATAAGTCATCCATTCTCAGATATTTTATTATCACAACAGAAAACAGACCAAGGTAAAGAGATGAGATGCTTTTTTTTAAATTAATGACCTTGACTTTGTTTTTCTTTATCCTATCCCTCTGTACCCTCCAAAACAGGTGGAAGAGAGGCAGGAAGGGCAGTGGAATTGAAACTTTGTATTTTAGGATTCTTCTAGATGCCCTAAAAGGCCTTTCTGCTGCAAAGTCCGCTGCTAGGGCTGTCCACCAGCTGGCCATGAGGTGTGACTATGAAGTTCTAAAAGTACAAGGAAAAAGGCCCAGGTGACAATGGGAAGAGGAAGCTTTACTTCCTGCTTCACATCCGGACAGGCCACTGCCTCACCTGTCCACTCACCCTCTCTCTGTCCCTGGATTCCTCTCCTACACACTGGACTGTCCCCACCCAAAGTCCTCCCCACACACCTGCATCTTGCCAGTGTGCCAGGTGATGACTGGGCAAGTTTTTCTCTGCTGACCAGCACTGCCTGGAGTTGAAATGAGAAGGGAAAAACCAAAGCAAAACAAAGCTGCAGCCTAGCACACCTCTGTATTGTTTCCTCATTTCTTCATTATGGGAAATGCTAAGATTGGCAAATGAACATCCTGCCGGAGAAGAAGTCTGCTGTTCAGAAATTGACTTGTAAACTGGTAATGATCCTGCTCAAAGCTGCTAAAGAAACTGCAACCAGAGCAAGCCATTAGCAGAAGGCAGAGGCTGTCAGGGGTTCAGAAGAGCCAATAGATTTGCAACAGGGTGTACTGTCTCCTCCCTCAGGGATAGGTTCCCTTAAATGTACTACTGCTGACACATTTGAGGTTACCTCAGTGTTTATTCTCTGTCACTTGGTTTGGGTAATAAGATGCTTTAAAATAAATTTGTGTGTGTGTGTGTATGTGTATTGTTAGTGCGGTTTTGAGATAGGATCTCTTGTAGCTCAGGCCAGCTTTGAATTCACTATGCATAAATTTACTATGTAGTCCAGGTGATCTCTCTGCCTCAGCTTCCCAAGTGCTGTGATTTCAGGCACACACCATCACTCCTGGCTTAAAATAAACTGTCATGCTACACTTAGCTCTCTGGAGGTATTTCTCTTACCTGCTTTCGATAAAGATAATAAAGATACTTTTGATATTCCTCTTTTTCTTTTACCCTCATAATGAAAAAAAACATCTTTTTAGAAAATAGAAAATTATTATTTTCCTTTTTGAAACAAGGTCCCACTTTGTTGCCCAGGCTGACTTTGAACTTCTGGACTGAAGCAATTCTTCCACCTCAGCCTCCCAAGTAGCTAGGACTACAGATTTATGTTACTAGGCCTGGCTTTAAGCTTTCCTTTTAAAATGGGATAGGAAAAAATGATGGTAGTCTGAAGGCTTTTTTATTTGTGATCTGGTCACATGTACTCCAGACTGACCTGGAGCTTGCCATGTGGATGGGCACTTGAACTTCTGATCTTCCTGGCTCCATTGTTCAAGTGCTAGTACTAGGACTGTGCCATGATGCCCTTTTTCTTTCTTTCTTTTTTTGGGGGGGTTGCTTTTAACATATGCATTTATTTACTTGTGGGTGTGTGTGTGAGGGTGTGGTTGTAGGTATGAGTGTGCTATAACACACACATGGAGCTCAGAGGACAACTTGTGAGAATTGATTTTCTCCTATAGTGTGGGATCTGGGAATTGAACTGAAGTCCTTGTGTATCTTTGCCCACCAAGTTATCTCTCTGGCCCATCACCTGGCATTTTAAAAAATGTGGTGCTGAGTATTGAACTCAGGGCTTCGTGCATGGTAAAGCATGTACTCTATGAACTGAACCACATGGCTATTCTGCTACAGGTATTTTAGTTTTATATTAGTTACTTTTCCTGTATTGTTGTGACAAAGTATCTTGACAAAAGCAACTTAAAGGAGGTTTTATTTTGGCTCACAGTTTGAAGGTATAGCCCATCACAGTAGGGAAGGCATGGTGGCAGGAGTTTGAGGCAGCTGGTCACGTTGTGTCCACAGTAAGAGGCAGAGACTGATGAATGTTCATACTCAGCTCACCTTCCCTTTTTATTAAGTATGGGACCCCAGCCATAGAATAGTGCCACCACATTTAAGGTGGGTCT